GGCACCGTACAAAATGACTTTGTTGTCATGTCCGCCGTCAAGTCGAACATCTCACGCCGCTAAATGTCTCGGTGCAGTATGCGTTTAGTCTTCGGCATTGAATTATTTAATCGCGTGGAGGTAGAGAGGCGGACGTCACGTTAAAGGCATTACGGCTCCTCTGGCAGAGGAAAGGTAATCAACATTTGACAAGCTTCCTGACAGATGCTTTTACTGCCGCAGCATTTCCCAGATGAGCGCGTTCTCACAGGAAATGGATGCAGCGCGTTAGGTGAGCGCTGTTTCAAGGTAGCACGCCGCTTCCGATAAATATATCGGATGTTGTAGTCATAAAGTAACGTCGATACTTTGTTTTAAGTTTCAACATCAATTGCTAATAAATATATACGGGCTTTGAGCAGGTGATTAAAAGTAAAGGACTCATTTTGCTAAAACAAATCTGTTGGCAGCACGCAGATCAAAACGGAGCGGGGAAATTAGCCAGGATTTGGAAATGTCGAAATTGCAAACTTTGAAGTACACACAAGCCAAAAGAAAGACGCGGATTCTGTTTTCACTGATGGAGGCATTACTTCATCTCCAAGCTGCCATATTAGACGTATCAATGTCAATTCGTGTGCAGATCCTTGTCTGTGGTGCATGCAACTGACACGCCCATCAATGGTGTCTGCCTGTCTGTTGCGACATCACAATGATCCAAAAAAGTAAAATACAATGTCCATCATAAAACAGTGAGACTTTCTCACATGGCTGCGTTGGATGAGCATGTGGAATACATAAATTAAGATATGAATGAATTAAAAAAAAAACCCACTGCATTTTTGTGCTTTTTTGTTCAATTAGGGGCGCATTTGTCTGCCATCCTCGTTTCCTCCTGTGCTTTACTCTGCCAGCCTGGTTGTATAATTAACCTCCAATGGCAAACAAAAAAAAAAATGAGGTTGATAAATTACACAGAGGGAAATAAATAACTAAATAAAGAGGAAGGGGGGAGAGTGAGGTATCAGCGAGAGTGAATGTGTTGGGATATTCTCCTAACTCAGGGATTCAAGGAGGTGGGGGGTGGCTAATGAGGGCGTCATTTTGAGCAAACTAATTATTTCTATTTGTCTTTTGTCACACTTCTCTAATTCTGCAATATGAACACAGTCGGTGTTTATTAATTGCTTTTCGCTGTGTTTTGAACGGCTTCCAAGAGGGAGCAAAAGTCTTTTGGCAGACGGGGCACCACCACCACCGGCACCATCTTGGATATCTTTGCGCTCCGTTATCTCCAAAGTTCTTTTTTTTTTGTTGTTGTTGTTGGCATCGTCGTCGTTGTTGTTGCTAGATTTAACATCGAAACAGTTCAAATTAAATTAAAAATTAAATGAATGAATGTCACTGAAGCAAAAGAAAGGGAAGGGGGGGAAAATGGCTGTAATTAATGAATCCCTTAATTGTCTTCATAAAATATTTGCATGGGCATAATTTGCATAATTTACATGTATTAATTAATCTTTCAAAGGATTTTTTTATGCTGAGGCAAAAAAAAATCCTTTTGTTTTATTTAGCATCTAATGAAATATGCATTCTCTTTAATGAACTTTTTTTTCCAATCTCAATTTGAACGCAAAAAAATACTAAAGTTTGAACGTGTTTTAATCGAGGTTGTTTCAGCAGAACAAATTATCATGCGATTTTTCAACATTTGCGCAAACATTTGCAAATGAGCTAATGCCTCATGTTTCGCACGGGAATAACTGCAATGAAAAAAACTGATAGGAGAATGTGTGGAAAAAATACGGTTTAGATGTCAGTTCTAGATAGCTACGAAACAAAAACAAGTAAAACATGGCAGCCACCCCACCCACTTTTGTGAAGAGTTGGGCCTTGGCAAAGCCGTCTCTGACTTGACATTCTAGTTTGAAAACATCCTTGTCCAATGACAACGGCATCTATCTTCAAATATATATATTTTTTTATTATTTAATAAAAGTGGCAAAAAAAAAACAAGATGCATCTTTGTGTTTGCATGAAAGCATTAAGTCACAAAATTTCGAGAGATGTGCTTGACATTGGACCCTATAACGATATATGTGTATGTATTTTTTTTTTTGCAATATTCTTCTTCAAACCACAAGATTTTAGTGTGTCAACCTGCAGTGAATCCAACTGAAATCCTCGGTGAAATGACGCATCAACCTGCAACGAAAAATGTCTTATCTCACTTTCGGATGTTTCCTCGGCACCGTACAATATGACTTTGTTGTCATGTCCGCCGTCAAGTCGAACATCTCACGCCGCTAAATGTCTCGGTGCAGTATGCGTTTAGTCTTCGGCATTGAATTATTTAATCGCGTGGAGGTAGAGAGGCGGACGTCACGTTAAAGGCATTACGGCTCCTCTGGCAGAGGAAAGGTAATCAACATTTGACAAGCTTCCTGACAGATGCTTTTACTGCCGCAGCATTTCCCAGATGAGCGCGTTCTCACAGGAAATGGATGCAGCGCGTTAGGTGAGCGCTGTTTCAAGGTAGCACGCCGCTTCCGATAAATATATCGGATGTTGTAGTCATAAAGTAACGTCGATACTTTGTTTTAAGTTTCAACATCAATTGCTAATAAATATATACGGGCTTTGAGCAGGTGATTAAAAGTAAAGGACTCATTTTGCTAAAACAAATCTGTTGGCAGCACGCAGATCAAAACGGAGCGGGGAAATTAGCCAGGATTTGGAAATGTCGAAATTGCAAACTTTGAAGTACACACAAGCCAAAAGAAAGACGCGGATTCTGTTTTCACTGATGGAGGCATTACTTCATCTCCAAGCTGCCATATTAGACGTATCAATGTCAATTCGTGTGCAGATCCTTGTCTGTGGTGCATGCAACTGACACCAAACAAAACTAACCCCCTACAATATGGTGAACAAACACGAATGATGGCCACTACAACTAAAATTGAAAAATATATATATTTTTGCTAACAAAATAAAATAATAAGGAAAATCAATAACTACATAAAAAAAAATGAAATTATGTATAATTATTGCTAAAATGTCCTTGTTTTCTTTTTAAATTAATATCATGAAGGAGCTGTGTATTATTCAGTATTATTGTACGGCCATACAGAAGAAGCAAGGTTCAACACTTGTTTAGGAATTGTACTTTGCATATTTAAATGAATAAATGAAGCATTTTTGAAAAATAAAAACTAGATGAATTTATAAAAGTCAAAACAAAAGAAAAGACAAACTACAATGAAAAACCCCAAACATTTATGACCCTGCCCCCATGAACCCACTGCATCAACATCTCTGCGCAACCAAGTGGCCTCGATGCCGTTTATCAGAAGCTTGTATTCTACCACTGATCACTTTAGCTCTCCTTGATACTTTGCACATTGTCTCACAGTTGTCACTGGGTGGTACCACCGCACTACGGTTCACTTACATTACGAAATGTCCTTCCATACCTATTTGTCATGTCCTTGTTTATGATGATACTAATGCAGCGTGTTATACCGGAGACAAATTCCTTGTGTGTTCTACATACTTGGCCAATAAAGATGATTCTGATTCTGATTCTAACACTGGCCGCTAATGCTAATCTGTGAATCAAACCAAACTTAGTTTTGGTATCATACTTTTTCATACAGTGTAGTTGCTTGAAAGTACCTCTGGTGACTCGCCCAGCTTAGCCGTCAAGTCACAGGTGCAGTAAGTACGTGTGGGGGTGTGGTTACTTTGTAAACCCCTATTAGATAGTAACTATTACTATTACGTTTGTAGACGGTATCTAAAGAGTTGCTTAGTTGTTTTATTTTACACTTAATGGGTGTGCAGTCACACCAGAGACCCCGATTGTTTGATACAAGCTAGTTTTGGTATCATACTTTTTCATACAGTGTAGTTGCTTGAAAGTACCTCTGGTGACTCGCCTAGCTTAGCCGTCAAGTCACGGGTGCAGTAAGTACGTGTGGGGGTGTGGTTACTTTGTAAACCCTATTAGATAGCAACTATTACGTTTTTAGACAGTATCTAAAGAGTTGCTGAGCTGTTTTATTTTACACTTAATGGGTGTGCAGTCACACCAGAGACCCCGATTGTTTGATACAAGCTTAAAAAGTCAATTTTCCAGGACAAAATCCTTTCCTTACATGAGTTTCAAAGTGCAATAAGTTTGCTGGCTCCCTCCTGTCGTACATGAAAAAAATTACTTCCTGAGTAGAGAGAGTTCAGTTGTATTTCACTTTTAAGTAACGTACATTACATTAGCAATTGTTTTAATTGTTTGTTTTTAAAAATGTATGTACATGGGTGTGCAGTCACACCAGAGACCCCGATTGTTTTATACAAGCTTAAAAAGTCAATTTTCCAAGACAAAAACCTTTCCTTACATGAGCTTCAAAGTGCGATAGGTTCGCTGGCTCCCTCTTGTCGTACATGAAAAAAAAAAAATACTTCCTGAGTACAGTTCAGGTGTATTTCACTTTTAAGTACCGTACATTACATTAGCAATTGTTTTGTTTGTTTTTAAAAATGTATGTACTGTATTTTCCGCACTATAAGGCGCTTCCGAGTATAAGGCGCACCTTCAATGAATGGCCTATTTTTAAAACTGTTTTCAGATCATATAAGGCGCATAGAATAGAAGCTATAGTCATGGCTGTGGTTGCATAATGTATCCACTAGATGGATCTATGCTAAAGGTAATACAATACAATACAACACAGCTTTATTTATGTAGTGCTTTCACAAGTGCTTTACAGAACATTTAAAATACTACATCCAAGAAAGCACATATAAGGCGCATCGGATTATAAGGCGCATTTGAGAAAATTGAATGCTTTTAGGTGCGCCTTGTAGTGTGGAAAATGCGGTAGATACAATTTTAACCCTACTGTTTGGTGCAATACCTTTTAATTGAACTAGTATTTAATCACAGCTTTTTCCCTTGATTTAAGTGAACGTGTGGTGCACAATAATATTAAAAAATATTTATTATTAATTCAAATCATCACTTTCCGATGAACAACACTCTGCTAAATTTTAATATTGGTCTTGACACTGGTACTTGGAGAACAAAGAATTTTTGTAGGTGGTAAAAGTTTGAGAAGCACTGCACTTGAGTTTTGGCATGCTTTTAGGTGCGCCTTGTAGTGCGGAAAATGCGGTAGATACAATTTTAATCCTACTGTTTGGTGCAATACATTTTAATTGAACTAGTATTTAACCACAGCTTTTCCCCTTGATTTAAGTGAAGGTGTGGTGCACAATAATATGAACAAATATTTATTATGAATTCAAATAATCACTTTTCGGTGAACAACGCTAAATTTTAATATTGGTCTTGACACTGGTACTTGGAGAACAAAGAATTTTTGTAGGTGGAAAAAGTTTGAGCAGCACTGCACTTGGAGGGTGCTCATTTCTGTGACCCGTCTCAATCTTCATCGCCGGTAGCTAATTCTCATTTTTGTGTTGCAGATGGCAGACTCTTCCTCAAAACAGCCGTGATGTACTAATAGTGCCGACAGGAGCTACCTACTTGGAGGAAACCTGGTGGGAAAAGGGCGATTAAAAGAAAAAAAAATGGAAACAAAGGATCGAAAAGATTCTCCAGAGTCCATTTCCAGGGCGATTTTGTTTTGGGGACATTGTGAAGCTGCTGCTTGAAAGGAATGCTGGAGGAAGGTGTGCTTGAATGTAGAATAAGCAAGTTTTTTTCTCTCCTTGGGATTTGAGATAGTTTTGACCTGGGGAAAAAAAAACAAAAAAAAAAAACGGCTTCCGGTCGTGGATGTTGAGCACAGTCAAAACGTTGGCACCGACTCATCCAACCGCAGCACTGAAGATTTGTTTTTAATACCAGTGACATGAATTTGCCCGTTTTTGTATTTCAAATTCGAATTTTCAAACAGAAAAGACGGAAAAACATCCAGAGGAAAATGGTTTTCTTAGATGACAACGCAATCAAGTTTCCTTTCTCCCACTGTTGTACATGCAATGCCTAACAGTAATGGGACAACTGGAGCAGATTGATATGATATGTGTATATATAAATATATATTAAAAAATGTCATGCAGTAGAACTAATAGGCAAACAGTACCACCGTTTATATAAACTTCTCTTTTTTGGGGTTTTGTTTTCCGTTGTATTCCTGAGCCATCCTTCTTTCCTATAGCTGCCACTTTGTTGAGAAAGCATGCAGGCATGATGTAAATGTTTGTCCTGGAATTATGATATTTAATAATAAATCCTATATTGTGCTGAACAAACATTTAGGGTTTTACTCACCACCACACAAAAAAGTTTCAAATTGAAGACTTTTCCTCTTCGTACGCTCGTACTGTAATCTTTGTAACAGAGGTGATATTTCTTGGAATTTTGCTGTACATTTTGGATGATTTTGAATCCTCAACATCGGCACCTTTTTTTTTTTTTTTAAAGAGAATCAAGAAACTCGAAAACAATCCGTCATTGTTTGTGCAACAAGTTCTCTCGGTAAAGACAGCCTCCCTCCTCCCCCTCCATGACTTTCCTGGTATCCCGTTGGATCAAAAGTGAACTTTTGTCCCTGAAAGACTTTTAAACGTGTATGTATATTCTTACAGAAATAACCTAATGTCACTTTTGAGCGTATGTGTTCCAATCAGAAGAAAAAGTAAAAGAAGCCTCCCGTGTGTGTGTTTTATCACTGATAACTTATATAGCTTCTTGTTTTTCCCTCTCAAAATCATCTCTTCATTGTACTTACAATAATGTTGACAATAAAACCATGTGAGCGTGAGCAAGGGGGTGCGCCCGCTCTTTTTTTTTTCCATCTATGTAAAGGGTGGCCGAGGGTGGGGTGTGGGTCACCAAAAAAAAAAAAAAAAAAAAATTGCAGGTATGCTGTACTGTAGAAAATGACTGAGCATATTGTTCTTCTTTTGTATAGCAGTGAAAGAAAATGTATAATCCTTTATCCTCCTGGTGTGTTTTTGGGATGGGGGTGCGCACCTTTGACCTCGATGTGTTTTTTTTTTTAGGCTCATTGGAGACCCACAATTTATGTAAGTGCGGGTGTAACCAAGCTGACTGTAAATAAATTATTCCCTGTGTTCTTTCAAGTGTATGACACTGATTGGCCAAAACACACCACAGAAATGTTTCCTACGCTCATCAAAAGTACAACCATGTTCCATTTGGATTGGTAAAAGTTGCATCAAAGTTGTCGGATTTGCTGTACTTGGGGACAATATCTCGATATTCGCACAGGGGCACTTTGGTTTGCATCGTTTCTGACATTTGACATTTCAAAGTTACGTGAAACAAAATTCTTTGCATAAAGGTGGAAAGATATGTCATCATGCAGCGCATATATATATATATTAGAAGGCACTCTTCGTAGCGAGGCATCCAAAAGTACCAAATTAATCATTTAGGTTTCATTCGGCCAGTCGGTTTGTGTTCCAGTAACACTGTTGACTATACACAAATGGTCTTAGTGTCTCACTGGCAGCCTGCTGATATTTAGGGAACATTTACTCCCAAGTATTCCCTCACTTGTTGACGCACTCATCAGCCGTCATGAGAGCATAATGGAGATGTCAGAGGGTTCTGATTACAAAAGGAGGCCCATCTATGATAAAGTCAGGAAAAAAAAAATCAAGAAAAAGAGATTCTCTCAAGAGAGAAAGCAAAGAAAGAGCGAAAGAAGCGGCCGTCTCCCTTTCCGCAGAGTTAAAAGGTGGCCCCCTGTACAAATGAAACTCAATTTCACGCCACATTATCCTTCCCTGTTCTTTTGCCTGCCTTTCATTTTCATTAAGACCAGAGACAATCATAAATTAATAATTACTGCCGAATGTCTAAGCGCAAGCCACAGCGCTGCAACCGTCCACCCCCCAACCCACCCATTTTGCGGACCCCCAGCCCCCCAATCCGTCGCCTCTGTGGGCCTCCATGTTCATGCTTGCAAAATGTTAATTTAGGTAATGTGGCCGCGGCCCTTGTCAGATGAAAGTGTTTTGTACCTCGCCTAATACATAATGGTCCATCTGATTAGATGACACCGGGTCTATCAGACCGTCCTAATGTGCGCACGTGCAACCGCACCGCCTCCACGTTAATAGAGTTGAACAGAGAATTACCTCTTGTGAGGCTTACCTTGGAGTATAAATAAAACATGGTGATGTTTTGGAGCCTGAAAACAACAAACGGGGCTTTTTAATAGTCATGTCAACATCTTTTCTTCATTCATAGTATTGTAACTCATTTGGGTGGCAAGCTTTAAAACCGCATGTAACACCAAATAAGTGTAACAAGAAATCCATGTTAGCAGCTAACCCGAACAGATCAACTGTCACATGACCTCAGATAGCCCCCCCGGACTGATCCGAAGCTGATTCCTGAGGGATAAAAAATGTTGTGTCTGTTTTTTGTGTTGGTGAACACTGCACCTTAAACATCCTATTAGTTTCAAATTCACCCAAAAACTATTTCAAAAATAAAATGAATACACAAAAAGAGTCTTTGGCTGCCACGTACAAAGCCGGTCACCTTTACCCAAAGGTGGGGGCGTGACCTGCAAAAACCGGAAGTTGTTCGCAGTCAGAGGTCTGCAATTGCAGTTTGCAATCAGAGCGCTGTTGCGGTATATCTTCTTTTTTTTTAATTATTATTACTCTCCTTCAAAGTTCATTTAAGCTACAATTCCCCGATGGCATTTGCAAAGAACGTGAATCTGGAGCGCCAATCGAAGCATTTTAAAACGGTACACACGTGAACTACGATACTGATGCTCTTGCACGCGAGACGCTGTAAAGTGACGTCCCCTGCCTCCGCGTCAGATCTCTGCTAAGGTAGGCAGTGATTTCTTTTTCACAAACCCACAAACTCTTGTTATCTATTTCCTTTTTAATGTTTCGTTCATGTTCGGGTCAATTACGGCTGTTGCTAACCATGGGATGCGTGTGTGCGCGTGTATGCGTGCACGTGCGGTAACGGGTCGATCGAGAGAGTTGGGTTTGCTTGAAAAGCAGATCTTAGTTTGGGTACCCCTGCCTTAAACGCTCTGTGACGGATTAAAATAAAAAATATATGTATAAATACGACATCTAAGCAATTAAAACTTAAAACATTGAAGTTTTAAGTTGAGTTTACTTGTTTTGATTTGGCAAATTAATGAGGAAAATTGTGATTGTTTTGATTTCTTATATTTAAAACGACTCATGATTTAAAAAAATCGAAACGTAAGAAATGAAAATGATTCCGTTTAAATTATTATTTTTTTATTTGGACTAATCTGTTTTTAATTTCATTCACATTGTTTTTCCCCTCACCTTTGCCTTAATTAGTTTATTAAAAATGTTTTGACACAACTGTTTTGATTGTTTTAAAATGTAATTGTAATTTAATGTTGTATGTAATTTGTAATTCATATTCATTTTTTTAGATATTCATTTTGTTTACGCAAATGTTTATTTTTTTGCTTACATTCTATTTTTTCTAGTATTCTATTGAACACATTTTTGTTTAAACACACAACTAGTTGTGATTCATTGTATTCTTCTTCTTGAACAAAAATCCCTGAAGGCTTCTGTTAGAGAAGTTTATTTGACCGCAGATATGTTGAGAGTCATGGGTCAGACAGTAGCATTCTTGCGATGATGCTAAAGAATGACTGAAATTCGTGAAGACCCATTGATGTGACTGGTACACTGAAAAAAATCAATCCTTTGGATTCACTTCATTCTAACGCACGTCTGTTGCATATGATCATAATGCATTGAACTAAAATTCTTTTAGGAAATCATGTGCAACCAAAGGTACTTTTTTTTTTTTTCTTTTTCCTCCCCTTCAGTACGTTGTGTCAATCACTTTTGACCACTGCAGTGATGCAACTCATCCCTGTAAGTTTTGCTGGAAATATGATCCAACTTCAACTTCACTAAGATCGAAACTGAAATTCCTTCTAATTTTGTGTTGTCTTGTATATGAAGCTCAAATGTGCGAGCAAATGGATGAAAGCTGTGGTAAAATTCTGCCATTGAAGGACCGCTAAAAAAATGGGCACACTGTTGTGTGTGCTGTCCGATGGTGTGACATGGAATAATCCTGATGTCTCAATGAGAAAATCAAGTCCAAAATGCCTTGCATGCTTTGAGTGTGTAATGAGTAGCACGTTCTTTAAAAAAAAAAAAAAAAAAATGAAGGCAACAACAATGCACATTTGGTATTTAAAGTGTTTGTGCCTCGTGGTGAAATTTGTAGTGAGTTGCATTTATTACAAAATGTGCAGTGATAGGAAACATGTAGCTGCGGGGCCCCCTGAGTGCGTTCATCACATAAAGAGAAATAAATATAATATCATAACGCACAGGAAGTGAGTACAAAAAGCATGTGAAACACTGAGTCATTAAACGGATGACTTCTTTCACTCGGGGGGGTGACTTGCGGGCGTTCATGACTGACCGCCCATTGTGTGTCATATTGCTCTTTCAAGGTTGGCTGAAATTTAAACCTTATTTTGCTTAAAAAAAGGAAAATAAGAAGCTTGAAATAGTGCAGTCCTTGAATGTGAACAATGTGCCATTGAATTATGCAACAATCGGTCAATTATTCATTCGGGCGGCTGTGTTACAGCCGTGCTTTAAAAAGCATGCAAAATGGGAATGGGCCCGAGCATGCTGCGTCAACACTTTTCACTCAGAAATGCTTACGGGAGAAATTTGTCTCTCCATGTCGATTTCATATTCCGTGTGCATTTTAAGAGCGGCGACTCTATAACCATCCCTGTGGACTTTGAATAATTAGTCATGACGAGAAACATAGTCATTGGAAAAACAAATGCAACAAAAGTGTAAGTACAATAATTGAATACATAAAGTTCTAATACAAAAAAGGTTTGACAGAAACGGGGAAGGGGGGGGGCATGGGAAATAAAATAGAAATATATTTTAAAATATCAAATAAAAATGCTCGGGAGCTTAACTAGGGCTACATTGATTTCTGACAGGTATAAAGCACCCTCTAGCTCCGGTGTAATTTATTTCCATGCTAGGGAAGCTCGCTTGTCATGCTACAGCTCAAAGCGTCTTCTATCAGGCCATGTTTTTAAGCACCCTTTCATTAGGATCCTGGTCACTCCAGGGGATTTGCAGGTTTTTTCATTTTTAACTCCTGATATCACACAAGTATCATTGATATTGTGTTTGCGCAATCATCAATGGGAGCAGTATTGGTAGCAAGGGTTAGACTATCGACACATCATGGTCTTGATGCAACATTTTTTATGTCAAGAAGGTATTGAAAATGTACAATTTGTAACATGAAGTTACTTCATGCAGTTGAAAGAACACAACCAATCATTTATTGACAGCCATCGTAGTCATGTACTCATTTACATATCGGGTCAACGCTAGTATCAGCGGGGATGCAATAATTGTATGTTGTATTCACTTCAGCGTTGACATCATGCTTTTATCAGTTGTTTTGTAGTTTGACGATACTTTTAGGAGAATGTGGTTGTTCCTTTAGATGACGACAGTATGCAGTATGGACACCCTGAGAGATAACAATACCAGGGGTGCCTGGTTTACGATGGAGTAGTGCTGTAACCCAGTGCACTGATGTTGTAACTGACTATGCTGACACTATCCCAGAGTTCAAACCAGACATGGTGAATCAGCATTGACTTATGTTGGATGCACATGGAATAAGATGGCAACAAAAGTGAAGCTAGCCCCAAGTATAAATAAATGCTTTAAAATCCAGGATAAAAACTATGCTTTTTCTAATATCTCTGACTAAGGTCTTAAAAAGTGTTTGTAAAATCTAATTTTCAAAAATCCTCTTGTGCTTTGTGTGATTTTCGTCATTTTAACAAATTCAATTTCACTTCTTCACTTGGCTTTTAAATATCCTAAATGCTTCGAAATGTTTTTAAATGGTGGAACAGTGGGTGACTGCTTAGCACGTCTGCCTCACAGTGCAGATTTGCAGGTTTCGATTCCGACTCTGGCCTCCCTGTCTGGAGTTTAGCCCCATGCCTCCCTAGGTTTTCTCCTACGGAGAAAATGGAACACTGAAAATTGCCCCTGTGTGTGAGTGTGTGCATGGATCATTG